AAAAAATTGATCCGCGTTTGTCCCAGCAGAGACTTCTCGCTTGACAATTTCAGCCCGAATTGCCGGAGCCTTTCGAATACTGACCTCAGATGTCCCACGTGTTCGGTTTCCGTTCTGCTAAAAATCAGCAGGTCATCCATGTATACCTGACATACCGAGTCATCGATACCCCTCAAAAATTCGTCCATCAGACGCTGAAATGTTATGGGCGCATTCTTCAGACCAAACGGCATTCTGGTGAATTCATAATGCCCCCTTTCAAATGTAAACGCTGTTTTGTGTTGGTCTTCCGGGTGCATCCGTATTTGGTGATATCCCGCCTTGAGGTCCAGCGTGCTAAAGACCACGGCCCCACTCAACCTATCGAGTATATCTTCGAATCTTGGGATCGGGTACTTCTCGTCTACCGTGTTATCGTTCAATTTACGATAGTCTACTACCACCCTGTATTTTTCCTTATTATCCCCCGGCGCTGCCTTCTTTTTCACCGCCCACAGGGGACTATTGAATGGTGAGGTGCTATCAACTATGATTCCTTGTTCTTTTAGACTATCTAGCTCCTCCCGAATATGCTGCCTCAACGCCTGCGGGTATCTTCTCTCTTTCACGTAAGTTACCCTATCCTGCTTCAGTGGGATTTCATGCACCGTCCTCCCTGTTACCCCTAATACCTCACCTTCCCTGAAGAAAATATCCCTAAACTCCTCCTGTAGCAACTTCCTCCAGTCCTCCACTCTGTTCACCGCTCCTATCCGCACCCTTCTTTCTCTCGCGACCCCTATACATCCGAACTTCCTCTTTCCCAACCTAACACTCCAGGCTCCTCTACGATTTCTAATGCTCGCCCCTACCTGCCCTAACAAATCGCACCCTACTATGACCTGGTATTCCCGAGTCATGTTTTTTACTACGTGTACCCTCAGTTCGCCCTCTTTTCCTGCCCACCGATCAAGCCTTATTGTCGCTTCTCCCTCTACACTACAGGGGCCACCCAGAGTGATTAGCTGGCAATCGCATTTTTGGATCCGGAGTGCCCTCTCACTCCCGCACACTTTCCCTAACGCCCCTCTGGTCATAATAGTGCTCGAGCTCCCGGTATCCACGAGGCACTTTACTCCCCCGTCTACCTCGATAATTGGCAACCAGCATGGCTTACCTCGGATGTTGTTGCATGTTGCTGTGCGGTCGCCTCTCTGCTGCCACACTCCTCAGATGCCGCCCAGCTTCCTCCTCACCGCCGCCGTTCGTCGCTGCTCGGTCCGTTGGCTGCTCCTGCCTCCTTCGCCTCCACTGCTACCTGGTTCGTCCGTCTCTGTCCCCGAAGTTCCCGACTCCTCGGTTGCCTCCTCCGAAGATCCGTCCTTCCGCTGCATCCTAGCCCGTCTTGTCAACTTCTGCGTGTTTACCTCCATGGGCTCGTCTTGAGTTCTTTCTCTCCTCCGGAATATGTACGGGCACTGCCTAGCAATATGCCCTTCGGTACCGCACTCGAAACATCTAGTGCGCGGACATTGTGCAACTAAATGTCCTGGCTTTCCGCACCCATGACATTTCCTGTCTTCCCTGCGGGGTCCATTCCTCGGCCTCGCCTGTCCGGATCTTTTTTCACCCATCCTGACCTTTTCTCCGCTCGGCTGTATCGTTTCTCTCCTCTTCCAACCCATCGGGGCTGTCCGGGGTCGTCTGTCATTCACCCGGATCCACCCTGGTTCTTCCACGTCCATCCGAGTCTCTTCTTCCCTTGCGCTTAGGTCGATCATTTCCTGGGCACACTCGAGGAATGATCTCTCCCTGGGCAATCCGTCTCTCCTCCCCGTTTCCTTCGCCAACTGGACCTTGAGTATCGTCGAGAGGAACTCCATCCTGGCTTCCACCTCTCCCACACTCATTGTTTCGCGCATTTTCTCCGTTATGCGGTTGTACTTTGCCACTAGTACCCCCGCATACTGGCCCCTCGTCTGACGTTGGGGCCGGCGCGCCCTAAACATTTGGAAGATGTCTTCCTCCGGCGTCCATCTGCCTCCTCCGAAGGCCTTCTTCAGTCGCTCCTTAATCACCGGCCATGGTGTCTCCTCGTCCGCCTGAATTTGGTTCAGGATGTTCCTCCTTACTCGGCACACCAGAGCCGCTTTCAATGCTTCCGCGTCCCCTAGGTTTACCAGGTCCTCCGCCACCTTTACCTCTATTCTAGACATGAGGCGGTCTCCGCCTTTCAGGAAATGGTTAAGCTCACCTACCTCGCCACCGAAGCGTTCCAGGTCCGCAATGGCTCTTCGTAGGTCCTGCGTGGTCGCCGCTCTTATTTTCATCCATTCCAGCGCGTTAGCGTGCGCTTCTGCCAATGTGTCCCTCGGTAAGGGAGGGATCTCCTGGATCTGCGGAATCTGCGGTACCTGAGGTATTTGAGGTATCTGAGGAACCTGAGGGGCCTGCGCGATCTGAGGTATCTGCGGAATTTCTTGAGGTTGAGGGATTTCCGGGGCGCTCAACACTCCCGGCCTGATTAAGCCCTCTGTTGGCATCTCACTCTTTCCTTATGACTAGGAGAAGAAAAAAACCGAGAGAAAAAAAAATGACTTTTAAAAAAAAAATTACTTCTCTGTTCTCCTGTCGTAGTCCCGGGTTTCGGCACCAGTTAAGCGTCGGCGGACTCTAACAATAAAAAAAAAGAAAGGAAAGGGTTGAAATGCAACACTCACGGTTTCAGAATAGATACTGATTTATTCCTTTAGTAATCCTCCTTATATACATTTCATATGTTTATTTACATTCAGGACGGCATTAAGGCTGATATCGCCGGTCTCCGGTCTTTATCTTATATATATATATATATATACACATATATTTCTACTACTCATGACCTTGTTTATACATATGTTCCCTATGAACTTGTATATATCTTTTTCATGCAATGCCATTCCTGTTTTAATTGATTTCCATGCACTTAAAGTTGCTTAATTTATTCATTTCATGTTATTAATGTTTTAATTTTTATTAAGATAAAATAAATACATCTTCTACTGTTTTCTTGTCAATATCTTGTTTATCTCTTTTTATTATTATATTTCTTTATTGTTTTAGCAGAGCAGTAATTTTTTTTCATTCTTATTTGTTATATGTAATGTTATATAGTTTAAATATTTTTTGTATCGTTCTATTAGTTTGTTTTAGTATATTTACTTAATGTACGTAAGGTTTTAATATTTACAGTTTTCATATTTGCATAAGGTTTTTTAATTTATTTTTTAGCTAAACAGTGATTATGTTATTTCATCACAAATAATCCGACTTTTTTTCAAACGGAACTTAGCTATTTGTTTTTCTCTTTAATAGTTGTAACAATTACATTAACACTCCTTCCGTTTAAAGTAAATTTTATCTAGTTTACTATGGAACGATGTTTAATTACTTTAAGTCAATATTTTTAAGTTATCACTTCCTATTCAACAAAAAACATGACTCGCTTAAAAAAACTCAAATCTTAAATTTCCTACTGTACTGCTGGAAATTGGACAATTGTTTATATGAACTTTTTTGTAGATCTTCATGTCTACTATCGACTTTTAAATATTTACCTCTACTTACGGGACATCTTGCATTAAGTGTCACTTTAACATCGGTTAGCGATTTTGACGAAAAAGTTCCAGTTACATCCCAGGTATAAACAAACCTTAAGTATGACATTTCACATTCGTAAGAATTTCTTTCGTTTTTGAGCTAGACATTTCACACACAAACACAGACCATTTTGCAGGACTTGTATTTTCGTTGAAAACTCTGATTCGAAAATTTTCACGATTGCAATATTGTCCCTTTATACATAGCTATTTTATGTATAGGTAAGTAAAAGTAAAAATGCTACAAAAAGAAAAAAAAATTGTAGCAGCGGGATCCCGGAAAGGGGATTTTATAGATTGTTTAAGTGTTGTTTAGGTATTTCAAAGGTTTGTTGATAGGCATTTTTAAAATGTAATTTCAATCAACATTAAACGGATTGAACCTAAATTAACCCAGTGAAAAAGAAACACAGTTGACAGAACTATCTAAAGAAACTAAAGAAAAGCAGTCTTAAGCAATACCATACACTGGCACTGATTTGAACTATAAATAAAGTAATGAGCTATTTGTCAACTGGTAGGACTGATTAGGCGTCCAAACCTCACTGTTCTGTATCTTATTGTGAGAGTTTAAACGAACATTGAAATTTTGCTAAGCCACTTTTCAGACCACTAACTATCTATAAAAAGGATGCTATATTACATTTCTCATATTTTGAAAGTAGTTTTTGTCTCTAGTTTTTGGCCTACTGGGGCCCTATTGTGCGACGCCTACCTTGAAACTGGCGTTGCGTACTAACCACCGAGCTTCAAGAGATAAATATTTAAAAGTCGATCATAGACTTTTAACTATTTAGACATCAACTTTTTAACTAGATAGACCTCAAGATCTAGAAAAAAGTTCATTTAAACAATTGTCCAATTTCCAGCAGTAAAGTAGGAAATTTAATATTTGAGTTTTTTTAAGCGAGTCACGTTTTTTGTTGAATAGGAAGTGATAACTTAAAAATATTGACTTAAGCCCTGTTTACATATAAAATAAATGTCGTTTAAAAAAAGGCCAGAAAATATATATATTTTTTTTTTTACAGATAGTGGCATATAAATATTTTCCTCTATTTTCGGGACACCCTGTATATATATAATATATATATATATATATATATATATATATATATATATATATATATATATATATATATATACCAAAGGCCTCTGTAAAGGTATTCTGCTGCCCGAGGCAAAATAGACAATGTGGCCGAATGGCTAAGGGCCGAAAGAAAATATATACAATTATATTTTGTATAAATGACAATAAAGATTAATAATGCGCCTAACATAATGAAATCAAATGTTTTCGTTTTTTTTAACAGATATAAAGAGATCAAATCTAATGGATCAAAGAAGTATTGTTAGAAAATTAATAAAAAATGAAAAACATACGCATACTAGGTGACAAAGCGTCACCACTGAATAGTATTATCGGGTCAAGATAGCTGAACTTCTTGACAGCAGTAGCAAATCTTGCAGCCCGTTCCTCAACATTGTATACATCGTTATAATGGATGATGGTGATCTCCGTACAAGCCATGACACCCTCCTAAAACTATATAATTTTATTTATTTTTAATTTAAACAATCAATTATAATCTCATTAAAAATAAGTTTACACTTACTGTAATTTTTCTATCTTGACTGCCGTAATCAAGTTCTCACTTAAAAACAATTAATAAAATATAATATAATGACAAAAAGTACGCAATTGATATACATTACAAATGCATGCATAAACTACTTCACTAAAATTATAAAACAGTATGAAGTAGTAGCAATAAAAGTTATGTTTTATGTTATTAACCATGATATTTAATTGTTTCATATATTAACGAAGTAAGGAGCATTGAGGAGTTTACGAAGAATTTCGGATTCTAAGGATTTGATACGAGAGAAATTCAATGGTTTAGTGGAGTCCCATAGCTCAACTCCGAAGTCCAAATAGGCCTTATTATAGTCATGTATATGAATATTTTGTAATTAATTAGAAGCTTTGAGCTTTTTTCTAGTAAGTGTAAGCGTTTGTTACTACCACCGAAATATCAGGGAAAAAGTTATGAATGAAAAGAAAATTTATCGGCTAATTACTTAAAAAATATACAATTTTTCTATTATTTGAAAATTTAATAAATTCCCTACAACACGATGAAAACGCCAGGAAAATTGGACCATTATTTACAAAAATATAGCCTATTGTAATTTACGTATTATTGCTTCTAATATTGTTTTCAGGGAAGTCAGTGGATCAGCTGATGCGAAGGGCATGTTCTCAACTGGTCTCCCAGTTTTTGCCTCTTTTTCAGCGAAATTCCTCTGATTATTCACTTAATACAGTTCAAGTGTACATCAGAGCAGTTGATATTTACTGTTTGATATCTTTTTCTTTTTAATTTTATTTTTGTTTTCTTCTCTTATGATATACATTGTCAGCAAGTGATGTCCAGTAAGGTCCCCATTAATAGGACTCGGTCTGATGGCGTTATTACCCCGCGTGATTCGCCAGCCAAACAGAACTCGTCGCTGCCTACAAGAAACCGCTCCAATAACCTCAATGAACACTTCAGATCCAGAATCTCAGCCTCAACCAGGTACGCCTTCGCAAGCAATGGTTGAAGAATCCCCTTTCTTTACTCCAAACCCTTTCCAAGTGCTTCGGAATGACAGAGAAGTAATGGAGTCAGCAGCAATACCCAGGGAACCAAGACCTTCTCCGATATTCATAAAAAATATTTTTAAAAACCCAATTATTGTGTACACAACTAAACAAAATCTGCTCTGGCAGTTATTCTTGCCTCAACAGGACCAACGATACAAAAATAACACCAGATACTGCAGAAACCTACCGAAAAATTGTAAAGTACCTATCAGAAACGAATGCAAATTTCCATACGTACCAGCTGAAACAGGAGAGATCGTTACTAGTGGTGATAAGAAATTACCACTCGTCAATCCCAACTGAAGTGATAAAAGAAGAACTAACAACGCTTGGTTTCAAACTATGTCAGGTAACTGGAAAATCTCTATTATAATAGACAAAAACAAAATTTTCATCAATGGAATTATAACCAACAAGTTCCAATCTATAATAAACAATGGGATCTGCAATCCAAACACTAATTCTTTGACAAATCAAGCTTAAACAAATGGCGAAATAATAACAAATTTCAACAACCACCGATAGGAAAAGCTGAATCAGTACCGAATGTCTCTACGAACGCTTTCCAATCAGGTTCAGACGAAGTGTAGACCAAGACACTAGCGGATCCAGGAATTAATTTTGGAGGGGGGAGGGGTTCAGCCCGAAATCTTTTTTTTTTCTCTGCATATATATATATATATATATATATATATATATATATATATATATATATATATAACTATAATTACTTTGAAAGAAAGAGAAAAAACTAACAACCTACAAGAAATGTTGTTTAAGTGATTTTTAAAGTCCTATTAAATGTAATTAATGAATAATAATAATACTTTTCAGAGATAGTTTTTTTAGTGAGGCATTGATAGATTTCACCATTTTGTGGGGGAAGGGATGCTTCAGCATGAAAGCCCACTCCCCCCGTAAATCCGCCTGTGGAAGAAGATAAGGATGCCATAATAGCACAATTGAAAAAAATACTTCAAAACCTTGAAACTCGATATGAATTTTTTTCAAGAGCCGGGTCAACACTCCAACGATCCGCCGGATGTAAACCAACCTTAAAAACACCTGCTAAATATTATGATGAAGTGAATTACATGGATGATTTATCAATATTAGTAGCTTATAAAAAACATCGAAGGCTTATCCATACGAGAGCCATAAACAATTATATCCACCCGAAATTATAACCACCTAGTAAGGAAAATAAAGAAGAATGGTTTATAAAAAATACTCCTGGTTGCATACAAGGAACGCATAGCGTGAACCTTATGTGCAACCATTAATATAAATCAATTGTAATGCAAAGTTCTTAATTTACCCCATCTCTGTGAGATTTGATATTTTCCTAGGGTGTGAACCCATAAAAAAATTAAGTATTAGTTTTAAAGATGAAATAATGAAAACCGGAAATAATGAATAAAAAAAGGAAAATTAAATATTTCTCATAACTATTTAATATAACAAGGAAGAAATCCGAAATATAATCCGTCATGAACACATAAAAAATGGAATTTGCAATGAATTACCAAAAATAATAAGCAAAATTGGTGAAATAATAAAAATGGAAAATAAAACTCTGAAACCGACTAGTTTACTAAAAAATAAAAATAAAACGGTTAATGATAACCCTATTTTAATCGGAACTATTGGTGCCCAGAGCAATTCAAACAACAAATACACCAAGAAGTAAATAAATTATTAAAAGAAGGAATTATAAGCATTAATTAGCAATCCTAGCAACTTCCATTGTAGAAGCTTGTAGAATAAAAATGGTAAGAATGCTTATAGACTACAGAATACTCAACCGACACACGGTAAAAGACAAATTCCCTTTACCGAATATAGAAGACATATTAAATCGTTTAAAAGTGACAAAAACATTTATTACTATTGATTTATCTGCAGGGTTCCATCAAATACTTATGGATGAGAAGTCAATCCCGAAAACAGTATTTTATAGGTAATATCTTCAGATTCAAAAAAGGTTTACCCCCGTGGCAATATAGAAAAGGTTCAGAACATCTCTTCCATGCCCCTCACGTCAACAATATTCTCAGCCTCGGCCCAAATTTCAACACTCCTCCTTCTCAATTAACCTACCTTGTCCCAGCTCTCCTTAAAGACCTAGAATGTATAGACAACAACTTAATTGTTAACGATGACGAACGGACGATTTCTCAAAGTCAAACATGCAACATTATCACGAACCATCTCCAGCAACCACTTACCATACCATCCCGATTTTCATCACGATTTTTGAAAGATCTTTTTTCTACTCTGCCTTTCTAAAATCCCACAACCAAATCATTGTTACTCGCGCAGACAAGTGTAGCAAAATTGTCGTCATGGACCGCGCCGAGTACAACGATAAATTATTCCTCGCACTCCTTTCCCACTAAACTACCAATCTACATACCAAATGTGATCCTACACCGTTTCTCACAACCAAAGTTAAGAAAAACCTAAACACCTTCTCGATACTGAACAAATTAAAACCCATACTTATAAAAATCTCATTTCATATAATTCTACAACTCTCCGGTGTTATAGCTTACCAAAAATCCATAAACCAGGCAATCCTTTCTGACCTATCATTTCCAACGTAAACTCTCCATCCTCTAAACTTAGCAAATTTCTCCTACCTTCTTTCCAGTTTCTTATCCAAAACAACCCAAATAATATAAAAATTCCTTGCACCTATCAGAACAACTAAAATCCTTAAATATACCACCAAATTTCATCCTAGCCTCCCCTGATGCAGAAAGACTCTTCACCAATATTCCCACAGACTACTCTCTATTTAGGTAGAGTGAAGGAACATTGGTGTGGGATCTGAGAAGGGGCTTGTAACCAATGAGAATGGCCTGAGTTTTAGCAGCATTTAGCCTTAATCCATTTAAGTTGGCCCAGGCACTAATTCGATCTAAATCTTCTTGAATTTTGGCAAATGCTACCAAGAACTACCGAGCGGGAGAGAAGGATAGATTTGAGAATCGTCGGCATAAAGGTGGAACAATGGATTATTGAATCATTAAGGTCATTAATATAGAAGCTGAAAAGAAGAGCAGACATGTTGAACCCTGTGCAAATCCAGAAGATAGGCAGAGAGTGGTGGCTTTTTTGAAGGTAGGCAGAGAGTGGTTGATTGGGTATGGAAACAGCTTGGATTCGTTGTGAGAGGAAAGACTGGAACCAAGAGATAGAACTATTGGAGAAGGTTAATGATTTTAGTTTGTTGAAAAGGATGGAATGAATAATGGAGTCAGAGGCTTTGGAGAAATCAAGAAGTATAAATATAGTTAGTTTTTTGTCATCTATTGCAGTCTGAATATCACAGGTAATTTTAATCAGAACATATTGTGTAGAGTAGCCAGCACTCTAGATTGGAGAGGATCGAGTTGGTTGGATTTTTCAAGGAAGTTGGAAACTTGGGATTGCACTAACCTTTCTAGGGGTTTTAAAAGATTGGAAAGAATTGATATTGGGCGGAAATCTTCGGGAGAGGATGGATTAGGCTTTTTTTTTTTTTTAAAGGAAGAACAATGGTTTTTTTCCAAGACGTCGAGAATATTCAATTCTGCAGAGAGAAATTGTAGATGAAAAGGAAAGCTGGGAGAATTTCAGGGAGACATAATTTTATTAGATTGATAGGAATGCCATTTGGACCTACGGAATCGGAGAGGGATTTCATTATAACGGTAATAAGGTCTGTGAGGGAAAAATAAAAGTTATTGTCGTTAAATGATACCTCTGGAAAAAAGCCGGAAGGGGAGGGTAAAGAAGAGGAGGAAACAGATATAAAGTGGGAGTTTAATGTAGATGACATCATTATGACATTATTAATCCTCAACTCTCACGCTATTCCAAACATACTTTCTATATTCAACTCATACCACCCTCAACTCCGTTTCAACATTGAAATAGAATCAAATAATTCTTTCTCTTTTCTCGATCTTCTCATTTCCAGATAATGATAACATCTTAACCACCAATTGGTATACTAAA